TTCACCAGCAAGAGAGGGCTCCGATCCCACAGGCTATTTGCGTGTTTATTTGCCGGTCAACCAGTTGCGTATGGTTGCCAAATTCCGTCTTTGTTGTTGGCCTTTGGAGGTCAACAAAGGACACCATAGGCCGAGAGAGTGCCGTACGTGTCAGGTCTGTACGTCGGGTAAGGTTGAGGATGAATATCATGTGCTCATGGAGTGTGAGGCGTATACTGAGTTGCGTAATAGGTTTCTGATTAACGTTGAAGATACTGATATGCGCAAGGTATTTCTTAATACCAATCCGAGGAAAATCGCTACTTTCCTTACTGAGGTTTTTGATGAGCGTCAACAGCGTGCTCTGGAGCCTCACGGCTCGTGAGGGCACCCGCCGCGTCGGCGGCGGAAATACTGTAACCACAATACAATACAATACAATACAATACAAAGATCCTCGAGCACTTTGAATAGCTTGTAACTCTTACGTATTACGTACGGCTTCCTGTTGTCCCTCATAACGCAGGTGCTCCTAGTAATGCCGCCGGCGTACTGGCAGGACCTCCGGGTGGGTAGTTGGGTAGTTAGGTGGTTGGTGGTTGAGGTGGTTGTCTTGTTTAATGGCAGTTTCTTCAGTTCCTGTCCCGCTTTCGATTTTGTACAAAAATAGCTGGAGAAAAACAAAATGTATCTTCTATTTGTAAAATATTTTTATTTTATTTTTAAATAATCATTTTAATGAAACACTTTTCATTGTCCGCTCCCTCCTGGGAGGGGCTTCATGCCGATGCTGTCCTGCACAGGAGCTCGCCCGCAAGCAGCAGTCGGCTGCGCCGGCGGACGCGGCCGCCGCGGCGGTGCCGGCAGCGGTGCCGGCAGGGGCGCCGGCAGGGGCGCCACTAGCGCATTGCGCCTTCTCCTTCGACCGCACGCCTTTTGTCCGTATGCACGAGGCGCTGCTGCGGGCAGCGCTGCAGCCGCAGCAGCTGCGGCCGCCGCCGCCGCCCCCGCAGGAGCTTGATACGGACACGGCGTCCCGTCAGGCGGGTCTACCCGTCTTCCCAGACGAATTGTTTCCTGCGGTTCCGCCGCCGCCGCCGCAGCAGCAGCAGGACGTGGAGGAGGTGGAGGTTGGCACTCCTGACGCAGCCGCCGACGAGGAGCTGGCGGAGGTGGCGGCTCAGCTGAGGCTGATGGGCGGTACGGCACTGAATCCGGAGCAACGGCTTGCGTGCGCTGCGATGCTGTGCGGCGCCGGACGTGACCTTCCGTTTGTACTGTTCGGCCCGCCAGGTAGGTTTACCGTTGGCGGTTGACCAGTGACCGTTGGCCCATAATAACTGCATTTCGTTCCTCCTTTCTGGACCACTCTTTTGGTTTTACTGCTCTCTTTCCGCACTTTGATTTAGTCTTGGCGGCTAGGTAGAGAGGCTCTCATGTGTGACGCGTCTGTCTGTCTGTCCCGATCAGGCACCGGCAAGACCGTAACGCTCAAATCCTGAAGGCAGCAGAGCTTCCCCAGCTCGCGCCCTTGATGTTCCGGCCCAGCTCCGGAAGCAGCAATGGCGGGGCCGGGCCCGGGGGCACCAGCCGCCAGCAGCATTCCTTCCCTTTTTACCCCTCCGCCACCACCGCCGCCGCTGGCCGCTCCGCCAAGCTTCTACTGGCGGCTCCGCAGAACTACAGCGCCGATCTAATCACGAGTAGCCTGGCGTGAGTACGGCAGTACGACAGAAGATGCTTAGGTTGAATTATGAATTGTGGAACGAATTTGTTTAGTGGGAGGAGGGGGAGGAGGAGGAGATTACGGCATTCGCTTGCAGGCGTATGAAAGGGGTGCGGAATGTACGGCACGTGCTTTTGACAGGTCGAGAAAAGGAGCTATAAACAAAACATTAGCAAGCATAACCATGTTGTGCCCGGCCCCAACCTGCTATAACCTGCCGTACATTCCCGTGATGCACTCCACCGTTGTATTGTTTGTTTGCAAGGCGGTGCTGGGACCAGTTGGCGGGCGGCGGACGGCTGTTGCGGCTTAACGACCCGAGAAGGTAGGTTGTATTGTACGGGGTTCGTTGCTTGGTAATCCGTACAGGCCGTACACCGTACAGCCATTTTATTGGCAGTGTCAGCGGCTACTTTCTCCCATTTGCAAAACTGCATATTGGGTCAAAATTGGATTTGTAACTGATCCGGCTTGTCGGCATTATCACAAGATTTGGTCGCTGCATCCTGCCGGCCTTCCGGCCCCCACCCCCTCCATGTCCCCCACGTTCCCCACGTCTTTTTCATTTCGTGTTTACTCCGTTTGCCCTCTCCGCGCACAGGCGTGTGGTTGAGGCTAAGGCTGCCGTACTGCCGTACTGCCTCATCGATGAGGCGACCGCCGCATTTCGGCTGCCGACCCCTCAGGAACTCGATCGTGCACAGGTAAAGGCTGACGTACTTCTGCCGTAATATTTTGCCGTACATATGATTTCTATGGACATTGTTGCTACTCTTACAACATTTCCTTTGTTGCGCGCTTGAAAACGAAGTAGTGAGTAGCCCGCATAGCATTTGTTGCCTAAGAACATTTACTTCAATAACCTTCCTTAGGTTGCAAGTTACAAGTTACAAGTTCCGCACAAGTGGGGAGATAATACTTGCCATCCTTGCCGTACATGGCTGAACCCCCCGCTCGGGCCTCCTTATCTCTACCCTCTCAACGCTACCTTCTCATCCCCCCTTCCCGCCCTACACACGTACATACATACGCACACACAGGTGGTCGTTTGCAGCTGCAGCGCCGCGGGAATATTGCATGAGAGCTCCGCCCTCCTGCAGCCCCTGAGATCAATTCAGCAGCAGCAACAACCGAAGGCTGCACGGAAGGCATCCGCGTCCTCATCTGCTAACGGCAATGCTGGCGGCGGCGGCGGCGGCAATAGCAGTAGCATCAATGGCAGTAGCGCCGTCCTGTTCAGCCATGTGCTGGTGGACGAGGCCGGCCAGGTGCTTTCCTGGCCGCGGAGGGCTCTGGGAGGGCAGAGTGGGACGGGGTTAGGATGGGAAATGGAGAGGGGCCTCCTGGCGAATGTCATTTACGGCTTTTCAAAACTTGACTGGATTATGTTCCCCGTCCGTCTGTCCAGTGAAAGAAATAAAATATAATGTATTTTTTAATTTTAATTTTTTAAATTCTTTAATTTTTATTTTCAAATCCGCCCTCCCCCGGTACTCCTCGCAGCCCTTCTGCCCGAGTACTCATCCCGTTACCCTCCGAGCGCCTGGAGTACGG